CTAGATAATGTATGTCTTCCTTACCCTAATTAAACTGTCCTAGCATAACAAACGCCTTCCTTACCCTAATGAAGCTATCCTAGCTATAGGTAATGGCCAATCAAGTTATGTAATCTCGTACCTTACTAAGTGTAAACCAATCCTAGAGAAGTTAGGTAGAAGACCCCCGAATCTGTTTATAAAAATCTATAAAAACCCGCTATCAGAGAGCTCGGGGCTCTATCCCTATTCCGCTGCATAGGTTAAGGGTAGAGACCTGGCTCGAGCTTGAATAAAGTAACCCTTGTGCACTTGCATCGGCTTCTGCATCGACTCCTCGGGTGGTTTTTGGGGACCCTGAACACTGGGCATAACATCTGTCCTTCCAACACAGATTAAGGTTTGTTCTTCCAGCAGTTCCTGTTACTTTCAATATTTTCGTCAACATAATAATTCAAATGTGCTTAGGCTTCCAACTTTCACCTGGTTTGGGTCCGGAGCACCTTAGTTCTCAAATGGACATCTTCTTCACGCTGGAACACTTTGAAGAGGCCTTTTGCAGCAGATTTGCCTAATGCAATGTGTCATGTGATTTCATGACTGTTGCTTCCAAGAGCTCTGACTGTGGATATAAAGCAAAACGAAGTCTTTGTCAACCTCAATCGTTTTTTCCGTTTGTTGTTGTTGTGATGTGCCGTGGAGTCGGTTCCGACTCATAGAGATCATGTACAGTTTCCAAGGTTGTAAACCTTTATGGGAGCAGAAAGCCTCATCTTTCTCCCGTGGAACAGCTGGTAGTTTCGAACCACTGATCCTGAGGATAGCAATCCGATTCTATTCCTAACAACTATGCTACTAGAGCTCCTTTTATCTCCGTTTAGCATGCTGTTCTTTATTGGTCCACTTGTGAGGCTCTTTGTTTTCTCTACAATGAGCTGAAATTTATACCTCAGCGTAGTGAATTATCTAATGCCTCTTCTAGCCATAGTCTAACTCCCACCAAACAATATTTCTGCCCAGCTGGGTCTGGGCAAGAGAAGGTGGGAGAAGATATGAACGAGATAACACAATTCACCCATGGATGTTAGCAGAGTCCACTGTAAATTGTGAAAACTGGACTCTCTAACATGGATTTCAAATGAGCCATCTCAGAAGCAGGATGGGGGATTCTACCGCCATCAAAGAAGAGCCAGTAAGGGAGCTTGTGGATTCCCAAGTCCAGCTAACAGAGAGGGCTATGAGAGGAATTGTCGGTGCTTCATACTGATGGCTGCATTCTTTGATCTTCATCAGTCCTCTTTGCTTCCAGCAAGCAAGGTTGTGTCATCTGCATATCTCAGGTTGTTAGTGATTCGTCTTCCAATCCTGATGCCATGTTCTTCTTCATATAATCCAGTTTCTCCAACTATGTGCTTGGCATCCACACCAAATCAGTTATGATGTAAGGATACAACCCTGACACACAACTGTCCTGATTTTAAACCATTTTGTATCTCCTTGTTCTGTTGGTCAACGTACAGGTTCCTCATAAACACAATGAAGTGTTCTGAAACACCCGGTTTTTTTGCAATGTTGCCCATAGTTTCTATGATCTAACACAGTCGGATGCCTTTGCACAGTCAATAGAACACAAGGTGATCATCTTTCTGGTGGTTATTCTCTGCTTGCAGCCAAGATCCATCTGACATCAACAATAATATCCCCCAACACATCTTCTTCTGATTCCAGTGTAAATTTCTGGCAATTCCCTATTGTGTACTGCTGCAACCGTTTTTAAATTATCTACAAAAAAATCTCAGCGTGCTGGTCACATAGCAGGTTACAAGCTAGCTCGGTTTCGAACCACAGTTTGAATCTACTAGTCGCTCCTCAGAAAAAAGATGAGGCTTTCTGATCCCGTAAAGATATACAGCCTCGGAGACCTCTGGAAGTTCTCTGTCAATGTATGGCTGCCGCTGTTTCGGTTATCACCTTTAGTAAAATTTTACTTGCATGGGATATCAGAGATATTGTCCAATGATTTCCACATTCCGTTGGGTCACCTCTCTTTGGAATGGGCACAAATATGGAAGTCTTCCAATTGGCTGACAGTTGTCTTTCGCATTTCTTGGCATAGATGAGTGAGAGCCTTGAACCGTTTCACTTTGTATCCTATCATTTCCAGGAGCCTTGTTTGTCACCAATGCCTCAATGTCCACAGCTTCCTCCAGTACCTTTGGTTCTTGGTCACATCCTACCTCTTAGAAATGCCGGAATATTGACCAAGGCTATTTCATACAGCATCTCTGTATATTTCTTCCATCTGCTTCTGATGCGTCCGGTATCATTCAGTACTTTGCTTGTGTGTTGATAAGTTGTCACAGAGTTGGTTCAGACACGCAGCAACCCTATATAGGGCTTCCAAGGAGCGGCTGGTGGGTCTGAACCACTGATATTTAACTTAACAGTTCAGCGCTTATCCTACAGTGCCACACCACAAGTCCATACCATTTTGCCCATAGAATCTTTTCAATATTGTAATCTAAGGCTTGGATTTTTCTCTTCAATTCTTTCAGCTTCAGAAATGCTGAATATGTTCTTTCCTTTTGGTTTTCTAACACCAGATGTTTGCACATTTCACCGTACTTGACTTTGTATTTTCCAGCTGTCCTTTGAATGTTTTTGTTCAGCTCTTTTACTTCCTCATTTATTACAGTTTTTTAGCCTTTCTATGTGCAAAATCAGTTTCAGAGTGTCTTCTGATATCTATTTGAGTATTTTCTTTCATCCCACAAACTCTCTTGGCCTTTGATCACTAGTGTTTAGTGGATCTAATCTATTCTTGAGATGGTCTGTAAATTCAGGTGGGATAGGCTAAAGCTCAGGGTCTGGTGTGGTGCTGTGGGTTAATGTGATGGACTGCAAGGTCGGTGATTCAAGCTCACCAGTCACTCCTCAGAAAGCCTATACAGGGTCGCTATTGGTCAGAACCCACTCCATGGCACTTAACAACAACAACAATACTGAAGGTCCTATTTTGGCTCTTGTGGGCTTGTTTTAATTTTCTTCAGCTTCAGCTTCAGCCTGAACTTACACATGAGTAACTGACAGTCTGTTATAGACTGTCCTGGTCTTGTTTTGGATGATGATGTGGAGCTTTTCCACCAACTCTTCCCACAGATGTAGTGTGTATTTGATTGTATTTCTGTGTATTCCATCTGGCAAGATCCACATGCATAATCGCCTTTCAAGTTATTCAAAAAAGGTATGTGCAATGAAGAAATCATGGGTCTTACAAAATTCTATGATGCAATCTCCAGCACCATTTCAAACACCGAGGTCATATTTTCCAATTACTGATCCTTCCTCTTTGGTTCCAACCTTTGTATTCTAATCATAGTAATTATCAATACATCTTGATTGCATGTTTGGTCAATTTCAGAGTGAAGAAGTTGGTAGAATTCTTCAATGTCATCCTCACTGGCTTTAGTGGTTGGTGCATAAATTTGAATAATAGTTGTATTAACTGAATTTCCTTGTAGGCATACAGATATTATACTATCACAGACAACACTGTACTTTAAGATCTTGGAAAAAAAACCTGTAGATGATGAACGTGACACCATTCCTCCTACTCAGTCTGTCATTCCCAGTGTAGTAAGTCATATGATTGCATGATTCAAAGTGCCCAGGACCAGTCCATTTCAGTTCACTAATGCTTACGGTGGACTCCTGGTGTGGCACTGTGGGCTAATATGCTCGACTGCAAAGTCAGTTTGAACCGCAAAGTCAGTGGTTCAAGCTCACCAGCTGCTCCTTAGAAACCCTAAACAGGGTCACTATGGGTCGGAACGGAGTCCTGATATGGTGCTGTGGGTTAACTGCTGGGCTGCAAAGTTGGTTTCTTAGGCATTAGTGAGCTGAAATGGACTGGTATTGGCCATTTTGAATCTGAGGACCACAGGGTTTACATATTGTCAGGAGGGACCAGTCGCTGGAGAAGGATACCATGTTTGGTAAGGTGGAGAGTCAGAGAAAAAGAGGAAGACCCCCAATGAGATGGACTGGTCAAGGGGCAGCATCAATGGACTCAAGCGTGGCAACAGTACTGAGGTGGCTCAGGATGGGGCAGTGTTTCATTCTGCTGTGCATAAGGTCGCTATGAGTCAGTACTGACTCGATGGCTCCTAACAATAACAAAGTAGGTTTGAACTGCTCACAGTTCAGCTATGGGCTGCACCGTCTGGACAGCACTTAACAACAATGCTTACGGGGAGCAACCTTTATGCATTCCCTTTCATTTTTGAGGACTTCCAATTTTCTTAGATTCATACTTTGAACATTCCACATGGTGATTATTAATGGGTATTTGTAGCTATTTCTCCTCGTTTTGAGCGTCCCGAGGGCTTCACTCCATTGGCTTCGTTGTGCTCAGCTCTCCTCTGAGGAGGCCGTTGGAGTCTGAGTGCCTTCTCCCAGAGGAGCTCATCTTCCGGCGCCATAGGTGAAAACGCCCCACAGCTGTTCACACGGTTCTCAGTGACTAACCCATGCAGAGCTGGCCCGCCTCTCCTTCTTCCGAGGCTGAGTCTGGAAGTTCTGCTGAGAGCTGTGCCCCCTGGGTGACCCTGCTGGTACTGAAAATCCTGGTGGCACAGCTTCCAGCATCCCAGCAGCACGCGAGTCACCGCGTACAACAGGTGAGTGACGCTTACTGAGGAATGCTAGAACTTGGAAGCCACCTCACTATTCCACAGCTGGTCCTTCTTGCTGCTAAGTGCTGGCAACCCAGCCCTTCAAATTCCCACTGTGCACATCTGAGAAGGATTGATCCGTCATCTCCTTCACTTCGTAAGATTTTTTAAAAAGTCACAAAATGAGGTGGTGGCAGGACTGGAGCTCAGGGGCAATTCTAGTTACTCTGGCCACTGGCCTGTCCCCAGCCCTGAGCTGGTCCAATCACAGCCCTCCCAGAGGAGGGTCCTAGAGACTCAAGCTCTGCAGAACTGTGAGGACTCCAACAGGGGAAACGCCCTCCCACCCGACTTCAGAAGCCCCCGGAGGATGTAACAGCTCCCAGGGTCCTCTGAGGCTGCTGTGATCAGCCCAGCCAGGACTCCAGGTGCTCCCCCGGTTCTGGCCCCAGGTGAGCAGCACCTCCCCCGCACACACGCACCCCCACCCCCCGGCCCCTGAACGTACCCAGCTCCTCCCGCGTGAAGGGCAGGAAGGTGGTGTCTTCATTGAGGTTCTTGTTGAAGTCGATGCACAGGAGGCTCAGCTGCTTCTTGATGCTCTTGATTTTCTAACAGGAAGGAAGCCATGATGGGAGCTCCCAGGGGAGGCTCCTCTGGGGCTGAGGGTTTATGAGGGCGGCCCCTCCTAGTGAAAGCTCCCCTGGGGCTGAAGGTTTGAGTGAGGGGTCCCTGATCCTGGTGGAGGGTCCCCACTCCTGGTGAAGGCTCCCCTCAGGCTGAGGGTGTGAGGAGTGGTCCCCACCCTGGTGAGGGCACCCTCCTGAGACTCGGGCAGGAAGAAGGGATGACAGTTGAGAGGGGACACAGATGGAACCAGGAAGGAAGCAGGGGTCGGGAGGCAAGTGCAGGAAGTCACACTGTGCACTCTGGCTTCTGTGGCAGTCACCCGAGGCCAAGGGAACCTCTGCCCTCGTTCCCTGGATGACAAAGTGGGCTTGCTGTGGGCCCACCTATGGCTCTATTAGCCAAAATCCCCAAACCCACTGCCACGGCGCCAATTCAGATTCACAGCAACCTTCTAGGACAGAGGAGAAGTGCTCCTTATTCTAGGACACAGAAGAAGCGCTCCTTATTCTAGGACAGAGGAGAAGTGCTCCTTATTCTAGGATAGAGGAAAAGTCCTCCTTATTCTAGGACAGAGGAGAAGCGCTCCTTATTCTAGGACAGAGGAGAAG